TTACCAAACAGGCTCTATATAAATGATTAAATACCTGTAGCGTGGTCATATTCCAAAATTGATAACTCATTTCTATAATATATTATAGTAATAAAATATTTTTCACTTATTTCAAATTTTTTGAGTTTTTAATTTTTTGAGTTTTTAATCGTATATTCTCTAAAAATTTACTATTCAAAAATTAATTATCTCCTAATAATGATTATTATCAATTTTTAAAATAATTTATAAAGAGAAATGTCTGGATGTGCAACCATAATTGATATTTTTGGCACAATTATGTTACGTGTAATTTCTTTTTTACATCATGTCACGTGGCAATATCACATTTGTCAGTTTTAAAAAAGGCACGCACTTACAACCTACATTTTTTGTGAAAACAATGGAGTGCCACAAACCATGTCAAATTTTGAATGTACATTGAACATTGTTCTTTTCACCCTACACTTGCCACATTTCTTCGGATCTTTCTGACGCGTGAATTATTTATAAAGTAAAGGTATAAGATACTGGATTAATGCTGCTTTAAATCATTATATCAATCTTACTTCGCCCTTGTTTGGATTCCATCAAATCAAAAATACATTTTTTTTTTCAAATTCATTTTTAACCACACATTTTTCAATAAAATAATAATACGGGTAAATTCAAAACATTCTCTTACTTTTTAATTACACTTTGTTTGAGAGAAATTTTAATCTAATTGAAATTGAAAATATAGTCGTTATTGGGTCTCACTCGTCTAATAAAAGTCAACAATAACGGCTAATTTTTCAATTTTAATCTCTACCAAACAAGCCAAAGTTTTGATTTTGAATTTCGATGTCTTTACAAGCAGGAAGAAGCCTCCTCTTATAAGGCAAAAATCGTCATCTTGGCTAAATTCATAATCAAACGGGTTTAATTTACCATTTTGTGCTTGTTTATTAAGCTTCTTATAAGCAAGTTACATTAAGGGATCTCAACAAAATGAAAAATAATAAATGGTAGGTTTAAAAAGAGAAAATCGATAGTTAATCATAGCTTTATTTATTATTCTCATTTTCGAGGTGTTGCGACTTGGCTATCGCTTGACTAATTTTCATCGGTTTGAATGATTATATGTGAAGAAGGATGACAGAATGGTAAAATTAAAATTGAATTGAAGTTCAACGATATAGTTTAAACTAGTTAAAAATTGGTAACTCTATATACGTCTCAATGTCAAGGCTCTAGCTAGAAGATCATGTTATATAGTCCGCGTGGAGATATAAGTCAAATCTGACCAAGTCGATGAAAACTCAATTGGTAAAAATACAGAAGTCCAAGAAAAGTCGACGTTTTGAAGCTCCACCCGACCGAAGTCCTCAATGAAGAAGTTGGTGCCCTTCTCATCTGAAACACTATATAAGTGATTGAAATTCTGAAGTCAAAGCACTATAGAAGAAACCAAAAAAGGAGTTGAAACTCTCTGTCCCGTGGCTATTCACACCGAAAGATGTCCAATACGAAACTTTCTTTGACTAAAACCCTTGCTGTCATTTAGAGGATCTACAACAAATCTTTAGGAGTGATTGATGTGACGTTTGTAATAATATTAATATTACAGTCTAAGTATATGGTGGTTGACCCGTTGTCAATGTATTAAATGAACAGTAGATGGAGTGATGCGAGGCTTCGGTCTGGGAGATGAGGCCACGTGGTTCTGATCTAACGATTACCATGTCAGCCGAACTTTATAAATAAGCAATTCCGTAACATTTGTTAAAAAAGGCAACCCTTCACACTCGAAACCACACTCAATCTTCTCTCTTGCTTATTCCATATTTATTGCTTGGGTTTAGATTATTTCTACATTTTTTAGTTGTTTATAATTGTTTGTTTATATGCAATCATCTCTGATCATGTTGTCAGTGTTCAAACATTTTTGTCTCGTATCATAAAGCATCTCCCACGTTAATAAATATCAACGTTCTTTGTTCGAATCTCCGACCAAAAATATATTGGAATTTGCTAGCATGCGTGTGGGTCCGACATAAGTTGCCCATCTGGCCATTACAAAAAAAGGGTTCGACAAACTCCATTAATATTTCAATAAAGTTTAACTGATGTTGGATGAAATTTACCCTATCATTCCAAAATTCCAATAGGTGGGCAGGTTTCTAGAAGGGTGATTCCAGGGTGTTTCAGTAATTTAGGATCGGTTGCTGGGTTTTGTATGCAGGAAACGAGCAGTGATTATGGGGGCAGGGGATTATAATGAATAGACACGTTTCATGAGCTGGTGATGGTGAGAAACTTGGGGGGATGGATTTCTTTAGTCATTGTGGAAAATTCATTAACGATGGACGCGTGTTTAATGAGCCAGTGGAGAACCAAGTGGACGGTGTGGTTAGGTGGCTCCATCGACACCAGAAAGTCAATTGCTTTATGGACTGTAAACACTTTCATCAAAATGTATCATCTACAAGTTGTCATGTTGGGGTGGTGTTGGACGAATAGGTTTGAAGATTCCAAGAGTCGGAAGCACGCTTTAAACTTCGATATTTTGTAAATTGAATAGTTCGATTCAATATAATTTAAGAAATTGAACTCGAACTGTCAACTCAAGTTCGATTGTATCATTAACAATTTTAAAAAAAATCACAAGCAGCCAAAAAAAATGTTAAGCAATTTTTTACATTAGTTCATTGTTTGTGTACCTACATCGACCGTGGTGACGCGGGGTAGGTGGCGACTTGGATTGGAGTTAAGGTCGCACTAGTTTGGCCTTTGAGATATTTTGGCTTTGTATTAGAATTTTGAATTGTCTTCGAGAAAATCTCTTCTCGAGAAGCACCTTAGTTGAGATTAGAGTTGTTGAGAGTTGATAAATGTTAATATATAAAAGTGAACAAGAATTAAAACTCAAGTTAAAAAAAAAAAAAAATTGATTCCTAATCAGGTTTCGGTTCGAGTGTTTCAAGAATTGAAACCACCCAATAAATTTCGGATATTTTATAAATTGAGTCATTCGATTTCATTGATATTTAAAATGTAACCAATTCATGTTTAGGTGGACTTTATTTTTTTCTAATTTCAAATACAAATATTTAGTACCAAATATAGAATAAGTCCATTCTCAATTTAATCAAAATTATGTTATTCCTATTATAGAACTTTATTATTTTGATTGTTAATTATGAAAGTTGAAGACAGCAAGAAAATGTGCTATACATAGCTGATTCTGAAAAAATTAAAATCCAAAACTAGGAAATTAGATCGCGCGTAATGAGTGAATTAAATGCATGATTAGAATATACCTCAAATGTTTAGCTTCCTCTCTCCGATGTGTGAACTTGCCTAAAGTCTCCAACTTTTAATATATTTCAAAAAAATAAATAAATAAATAATTACAAGAGCAATTGTATGGTTGGAGAGGAACTCGTCAACCAAGATTCAACTAAATCTAAGGTAAAGCAACAAGTGCAACGCATGCGGACTAGGGCCCTGTCTGGACGCACAATTTCAACCAAAGAAAATTGATTTTTACACCGTTAGCACCCCAAGTCAGCCGCAAATTTTGACCACTCCCTCACAAGC